CAATAGGTTCTATTGTAAATTGCACTTGTTTTGTTTGTATTGGTAGTGAGTGTTTATATGTCAATTTGATAGTCGCTAGATGAAACGTGAGTTTTGAAAATTTTCGATTGTTAAACTGTTAACGTTTCTTTGCAATTATTCTCTGCAATAATTTTTATGAATTCGTATAAATTGTTAGATAAGGATAAAGCTAAAATGGATAAATAAAATGAAATACAAAATATTTATATAATTAAAATATAGTTTACCGTTCCATAAATATCATATTTCAATACTCATATATTATTTATACAATTAATTAAATAACGCGCATAATAAACATTATTTTACATTCCATGAAAATGTTTTATAGGCAGGATACTGCGATATTTTTCGGTATAATCGGTAATGTACTCGGCGTACTTCCGTCTTAATTTACATGAGAAAAACGAGTTTTTTTTTTTTGTTTTTTTTTTTTTTTATATTACTCTAAAACATTAAAGTATTGGGCATTGAAGGATTTTTTTGTAATAGATTAAATTCCATATCATGATTATGATTTGCTTGGAATTGAACGATATTTTCAATAGTGATGAGCGGAGTTTTCAACGGCCCTCGAAACTATAGTGTACGAGTAAACAAACATCCCACGATCATGAATATCCTATTTACTATCCATTTTATAATTAATATAATCAGTTTTAAAATATCCATTATCCTTCAAACGTCCTCCAAGCTCTTAATATAGAAATCTCGTTAGTCGATAAAGGCCGTCACCACCCAACTCATCTCATCATTCGTTTCCGATATCTTCGCTCCTTTATAATTTGCCACTACGATCAGCATTTCACCTTCTTAGAAAATAACCGAAAATTCGCAAAATAATTATATCGTGATATTCATGTAGACAATGATTGGCCAAGGACAAAGGGTAATGGCAATTCATTGGAAGGCTTTTGTGTACGTCGTCGCTCGATACTCTAGCGTACAATGTACACGGCATTATCTCAAAATCTCAACTTTTCGCTGAGAAACATTAATTGAATAGCGAAGATATAATCGAATCTAATGGTCGGCCGGTCTGGCTGTCAGTTAACTTTCGGCTACGGCGACGTGGACAAACGTAAAGGGGTCGCTACAAGGGCGCAAATTAAATGATTCGATTATAAGCCACGGAAATTAAGATGACACGAGTCGGCTTTGGTGCGCGTGGGACTACTATAATACCGAAATAAGGCGGCCCGCGCATTGACCACGCAAACGACAGTCTGCATTTTAATCGCCAGCTTCCACAAAATTTCCGTCTTCCCGACGTGTCGGCGGCAACTCTCCAAGGCAAGTCCGCCTCGACTCTGCCAAACTTTTCAAAGTATGCAGATGTGCCTATGCACGCGCCCACACTCTCAATTTATACTTCTATTTACATTTGTATTTGTAATCATGTATATGTATATATATGTGCGCGCGTGCGCGTACGTGTGTATAATATGTATATAGAGGGGCGTGGGGAGGGGGAGACACGGAAAATTGCGATTTGCAGTCCGTAAGTTTTCCCGTTAAGTAACTTCCCTTCTTCCATCGCTTTATACACGGCAGTGCCGCTTTTATTTTCTTTTTTTTCATCTCTTTTCATCTTTTTTTTTTTTTTTTTTTTTTTTTTTTTTTTTTTTTCTTTATACGGACCTATCTCACTCGACTCTTCCCATTTTTGTAAACTTTACGTAATATCGGCTTCCTCCTGTTTTTTAACTTTCTTCAATGGAAACGCGAAGGGAAAATATACACTTGAAATCGTTAACTTTATTTCTTAGTGAATTTATTAAGCTATTCAGTGTGCCGTTTATTTAATCAGCGGAACGCAAGAACTCGGTTGAGAATTAAACGCGTAATTTGTAAAATAATATTTTAGCCAGTTATATGTATTTCATGTAATTTATATGACCAATTTGTGAAAATAATTTTATAAATAAGACAAACTTACTTAATTAATTTATAGTTACTTGTAATTTCGAAATGCATACGAGATCGTAAGTTGATTTTATATGCAAAACTTGTTCAGTAAGTATCATTAGCGACATAAAGCATTTATAGGCCCCGCATGTATTAATAAGATAATAAGATTTTCCCACCGTTTGCTCAAAATGTGTAATCGCTATTTTTATTACACTTTAATATTCCGACATAATAATAATAATAATAATAATAATAATAATAATAATAATAATAATAATAATAATTGCATGACATTGTAGTGTAAACAGTTTGATGATTAAATTGTCAAATGTATATTTTTTTTATGTAAATATATGGAGGATATAATGATGACGATACGTAATAATAATGTCCGTTGATCAAAATCTTGGAATTTTAATTAAGTGATTAATTGCTTATGAATTTCGACGAATAATATGGGATAGGATAGGCTGAAACATTATTGAGATATTCTCTATGAAGTAGGATCAGGTAAGATGGATATATCGAGAGGAGATGCGAAAGGCAAAAAATATAAATAATGAAAAACTGAAAAGACAAATGACAGCGGTAGTCATCGACTGAAAGAGGTGAGATAAGAAGTCGATCGGCTGTGTATTAAATTCGACATTAAACAAAATATGATTGTACTAGTTTGGCATAAAAGTTCAGCGCGTAAAGTAATGGAAATCATAGAAAATTCATAAGAACTCGAATGATAATATTTTTACTTGACTAAGGAGCAATACGTGGGATAAATTAATAATATAAGAAGATTTATAATAAAGTTGAAAAAACTTTTGAAATACCTTAGACTTTATATATATTCGAGATATTTATTTATTTATAGTTATGTAAATATATATAAAATGCAATGTAATTTAAAAAAGTGATTGAATATTGTAATTTGATCGAAATTAAATGAGGTTATGAGAAAGACATATAATTGATGCAGATGTGCTACAAATTAGTTGGAATAAAGTTATGTGTAACGAGCTCTTTACTGCGTATTAATTTACTCTATGAATTGGAGTAGATAACACTTGGAACTCTGATAAAATGCTTAAAAATCATTACTATCCGACGATCGCGTTGACGATGTAACATGCTCGTAATTTACATGGCTGCTATGCAATGTAAACAAATGTAAATAATTTGCTTATTTTGGCCAATTTCGCAATGTGGATTAAAAAAATTTATGCGAAACTCTAAAATAAATAAATAAATAAATGAAAGAAATTTACAAAAATTATTTTAACCAAAATTAATGTCGAATATAAACTAATTGTTGTTGACTAACAAAAGTTTTTCCCCCCAAACGAATCTTTACTTATGCACTTGGCATAATTCGCTTAATAAACGAATTTCTCGCAACTAATAAAAAAGCCGCATTAGCATTAAAGAAATTTTAAAAACATTTTTTACGTAAAAAATAAAGTTTCTCGACTAACAATTACAATATTACTTCAGAATTCAATAAAAACGTTATTTGTCAATGTCTGTACATGGAACATTTCACTTTGAATAAAGCAGAGATTCGACTCACTGCCTGCAAACAAAACGAGAAACACAACGTATCGACCACAATATAATTCTTCGTTCGGGCGGGTGGTGGATAGGGGTGGAATGTGCACCCGAGTCCCCTTCCACATCGCGCGTTCGCGGCGTCCCACTCGCTCGTAGCTTTTTTTTTTCGTTTAACCGCGCAAGCACGACTCAATTCGCCTCCTTCCTTTATGTCCTTATAATTTTCCGGTCCGCGGAATTACAGTGTACAATGCTCTGCGGATATGCTCGGCATCACCTGCTGCTCCGTAAAAAAAGCAGTCCAAGGCAAACACTTCAGAAATAAGGGTGAAACTGGAATGGGAGAAGAGAGGGAGTAAGTAAGATGAATTATGAGCGATTACGACTTGAAGAAGAGGAAGAATCTTAGTTAAAGCTACTTAATTTTTATGCGTGTTGTCAGGCGCCTCGTGCCTCTTCGTCCTTTTAACTCCCCCCCCCCCTCTCTCCCTCTCTCTATCTATCTCTCTCTCTATCTATCTATCTATCTATCTATCTATCTATCTCTATCTCCATCTCTATCTTTCCATCTATCTGTATATCTCGCGTTCTCGAGAGAGGGAGGTAGAGTGTGTGTCAGGCGTTAAGCCGCGTCGAAATAACTATTCGCCGACTTACTTTTTAATGAAGCGAACGACGTAAGCCATCCGACTAAGTCTCGACTTCAAAAGCGGAAACTCTTATCTGAGGGCGGTGGCGTTTTGTTCAGCCAACGCCGAAACACAGTAAAAAGGAAAATGTGTGAGCAAGAAAGTTTGGGAGTACGGCGGTGGTTACTTTGTTCTTCGTATACGCTGTTATATGACATTGTGCTAAAGCCAAGCAGAAGAAGAAGAAGAAGAAGAAGAAGAAGAAGAAGAAGAAGAAGAAGAAGATGAAGAAGAAGAAGATGAAGAAGAAGAAGAAGATGATGATGATGATGAAGAAGAAGACGAAGACGAAGAAGAAGAGGGAGGAGGTTTCATCAAAGTTTTCATCTGGTAACTAAGATATCGCGTTTAAATTATATTTTTGGAAAAATGTTGATCACTGCATTGGATACGGCGAACAAAAAATTTACCTTAACTACAAAGATTTCCTAAGCTTTTGTAATTCTTTTATTTTAACAGCATTGAATACATCATTATTTTCAATTAAAATTCATTTACTCGCTCGTAAGTAACATTAATAATCTAATTATACGGTAATTAATTATTAAATACATACTTCCTTAATAATGTTGAAATTTACTAAATTCTTACAGCACACAAATATAGCATATAGCGAGCATTTTACAGTGCAAGCAAATTTAGCAAATTAATACAGAATCATTATACTTATCATTATCATTAAAATAGAAAATGTCACAAGTTACATCATGATGTATATAGCAGCTCGGTCAATTCAATAATTAAACGCGTAATTTAATTATCTTCATACAAACGATAAAATAAATCTTAACAAAATAAAACAAAAAAAAAAAAAAAAATTTTAAAAAATCGTATAATAAATTTTAAAACTATTTATTAATTAAAAATTGTCACAGTATTTAAATGCTCCTTTCTTCCCGACTACTTTTGTGAAGAAACTTTTAACCGATGAAACGTTTAACCTATCGAATTATATATATATATATAGGTACGTCAATGTAGCTTAGTATGCCTCGTTATAGTTTGTCAATCTAATAAAATTAATAAAAAGATATCTTCTTTCATATTATGTCATAAAGTGCATCATGCTGCGCAATGCGTAAAGGAGTTCTGCCTGCATGCGAGCCTCAAATATGATTAAATTTACATGAACCTGCATTCAAATAATGTAAAAGAGCATTAAAGAGATTATATGAAATATGGAATTTGAAGGTACGGTGCAATATAGAAAACGGCAAAGAATTAAAAAAAAAAAAAAAAAATTTTTCCTCTACTCCTGATGTATAGAATTATAGAAGGACGGTTTATTCACTCTCACGTCTTATATTTTATATTTTATATTTCAATTAAGCATAATTATTTATATATATATATAGCTCGTTAAAAGAATAGGCGAGAAGCTTCGCGGTACTTGCACAAAGTTCCAGCTTTAATGCTTAAGCAAGAATTTCACTAATTCGTTTGTCATTATTTTACCTATAACGTATACGTAAATCTACCTCGAATAATCATGATAATAATAAATAATAATAAATAATAACAACAACAATAATAATAATAATGCACCATACCTTGAATGGATATTATAACCATTGCGTTATACCTTTTCACTCTCTTTAAATTCCGTCATAACACGGTCATAATCCTTCTTTGTGACGCGCTCCGGATAACAAACGGCATTCTTAATAAAGGTCTTAAGGCTATCCTCGAGTAGCTGATTGATTTCGTCGTAATCGTAATCGTCGTGCTTAATGCCGTAAAGACACTGGATATAATTCCAAATGGCGATCCTGAAACGCGACGTGTCGACTTCGCTGTGCTCGCCCATCGTTTTATACGTGAGGTTGTAAGCGGTTTTGAATTTATCGTCGAGAAGGTTGCCAACGTCCGTGTAGAGGCTGGTAACGAGCGAATAACCATGATCTGCCCAAGAGTAATCCTGGACACGAAATGTGAGGGATTCGCTCAGTTGGCCACACTAAAAACAAAAAATGGGGGCCTCGTTTGTAGGCGGTACTTTTCAGCCGCTAATAATAGGCAAAAGTTCGAATATTCGTCGAAAGGTGGTAAGGCCATTTATGACGTTTCGGCGTTGCTTGCAATTCACCTTAAATATTCGTGATTATGGATTTGTGTGGATAATTAACGGGAGATATTCTTTGAAATTCACAGCCATCGTTATGGTGGCGTCGTGGCGGTAGGGACAGAGGCATAAGAAAATTCGCACGCACGCGTAAAATGTCAGATAAAGTAATTTCAATTTACCTAAAGGAAAACTTTTAATATTAACAACTGCAACCGTATTTTCAAAAAGTTTCACTAATTTAATTTTTCAGAAAATACGTCAATTTATATTTGCGCACGGATTCGTGACAAGAAACGTTTGCAAATTATTTGCAATTATAAACTCGCCTGTAATTTAATATAGGTAATGAAAATTAATACTTTACTGATACAACATTCATTATAATGAATACTTAAAGTAGCACCAGACACTTTTGCATTTATATTTAAAATTACGGAATAAATAAACAAAGATACGTGTATAAGCGTTTGGGTTGGATGTACGTGGTGGTTGGTTGGTTGGTTGGTGCGTTACCTAGTGAAGGTAACCTACTTTCTCTTCCTGATGTAAAGTCATACATCAACCCCTTAAAAGGATGTAAATATTTACATTTTGCACATAAAAAATAATGCACGCTCATGCACATAAGCAGACGTATATGTGTGTATTTACATAAAAAATAATCCACATTTTTTAAGTTAATTTAAATGAAAAAAATTCAATAAAAAAAAAAATTATAAATTGCTTACAATAAAAAGAAAAACGCTGTGCTTTTAACTTTTCAGATTTATTTACAATATACATTCTAATTAAAAATCTCGGTAATATATTTTGTACATTTTCAAACGTTCTTAATTTTGTGCGTGCGTGTGTGCGTGTGTGCGTACAAAAGTATACATTCATACGTATACGTATATATATATATATATATATATATATATTTTTTTTTTTTTTTGAATATGGTAGAGATTTTTACACGAGCTCTAATTTATCATGACCTTCATAAAGAAAAGGAAAAAATTTATACTTACCAAGAAGCTTAGCCACCACATACGTGTGAAACTATTCATTAAGTTATATTCCAAAGATATATAATAATACATATTAATGTCGAAAAGCCAGTTAGTTAGATAAGAAACCTTGAAAATGCATTGCAATTAGAATAAATATTGCGTATTCAAAATACCATATATTCATTAATTTTTAACGATAGTGCTTATAAGAAGAGAAATATTAATGATCAAGCGGACAAAATTATACTATAGTGATTTATGACGCGATCTTTTGATCATTTTAAATAGTTAAATTAATTAAGCCAATGGAACGCGCGAACATGTATATATAATATGAACAATAAATGTAAAAATATTGAGAAAATGACTAAACTAATAATATAATTTGGATGAATAAAATCAACATTTATTATGTTCTAAAGTAAATTTAATAATAAAATAATATCCATAATATGATCCATTATGATTTAATCTTACTTATGTTATTATATCATTTTACTTTTTATTTACTCGAATACTTGCAAATCTCTTTTAAATGATTGAAACATTTATGGAAAGATTTTTGTGTATTGCGAAAGTAATAACTACCACGCAATATATCCTCAAAATTAACATTCCAAAAGCATCGTGTGTTGTGTTAGATTTCTCTCTCTCTCTCTCTCTCTCTCTCTCTCTCTCTCTATGTGTGTGTGTGCGTGCGCGCGCGCGCGCGTGTGTGTGTGTGGGGTTGGGGGGGGGGGGGGTCTGTGGATGGGTGTATGTATGATTATTTTGCGTAGCTCAGTGTTTTGTTTGAAATTCAATTGTAAGGAAATAAATTCCATCTATACTAAGGCTTTCATAATTTATGAAATAATTCTTGTTGCGGGATAGAGTCCAAGATAGATCATGCATATATAAATTATTAGCTAAACTAAAGATTCATAATCGCTCCATAATCAGTTATAAAGCTAATCACAGTTAAATGCATTAGTTCTTCAGCCGATTAATTAAATCGAAAATTTGAAATCTCAGTAAATAATAGCAATAATGATCATCAACTATCGGATAAACTAGAAGCTACCCATGTTGCCTTTATTGAATATGAATTTAAATATTGGCATACTACCGATCATTACAAAATTAATCGCAACAAATATGAAATAACTATAGTATAAGATTCAATTTTATGACGAAATTTTCATTTATATTTTTACCATAATGTAAATAAAAGATTTTGCGCACATGTGCATATGGGCATATCGTATTATTAAAATTTAAATAGATTTAAATAGTTTATCCAAATAGAATGTGAAATATAAAATTACAACAAACAAAATTCAAATAATTATTTCTTAAAATGTATAGATTTTTATTTTTATCCATAATAATGGAACGTTACTTTCTGCCGAATCATTCATTGTATAATTTGCAAAAGCATCGTATTATTCGACTGTTTACTGAAAAATTCAAACATAAGTTATCACTTACGCATTTTCAAAATTATGGATATCGCATATTGTAATATTATTGATTACTCGTGAAAAAAATTCAACAAAAATCGATAATATTGATTATCCTATGATAAGAAGTATACGCGAAATTGATTAAAGGAGAATCTAATGTTTCTCTAACCTATGAGCATGAACGATCTTTAATTAATAATTTAATGATTATCCATGTAATTTTGCTTGATACCCGAAGCACCAAAAATAATTGACACAATTTTTTAGACTCCACAGTCAAATAGGAAAAATAATCGTAATAAAGATTACGTATACGTATACTCATCATTAAAGTATTATTACTTTTCCATTTCAAATTTATAGACGACATACGATATAAACGACATGCAAAGATAGAGATTTACCTAAAGTACGATAATATTATGAATAACTCTCTGCTAATGAGTAAATTATCCTTGAGAGTATTTAGTAAATATTAATAATCCAATGTATGAAGAAAGGCTGTATTAAATATAATATTTGTTAGTATACCTTAGTAAAATCTTGATAAATATAGCTGGGCTCTTCGATGAAAAGGCCAATGTCCATTTCAAGAACAGTATTTGTTCTTAACGGTGCAACCACTAATTCAGCCGACTGCTTCTCAATAGTTTCGAATCGTTTTGCCAATTCTTCCTCTGTGAATTCAAACGAATCTGATTTTTCGGACAAATCTTTCATCCTTTCCATCAATGTCTGAAGTTTCACTTCCTGCTCTCCGACAATGCTAGGCGGTGACGATGACAACGAGTCCTCTAAAATATCATATTTCCATTTTACTTTCAGAGTGTAAATTTAAATTGACTTATATTATTGGAGTTATTGGATATTGAGGGCAAGTTTGGAAATTTGAATTGTCAAATGAAAACAAAAAAACAAAACAAAAAAAAAAAAAAAAACAAACAAAGGAAAGGAACGATCGACTAAACTTACCGTCCTGACTGGAACGTCTGCTGATTGGAACTGGACTATTGGCAGGCCTCTCAGGATCTGGCACCGCAAGACTTTCAGCACTTTTCGAGTTAAATTCACAAGAGTGCGTCTGAAGATTCTCTAATTTTTTAGTGATTCCACAGGAGAACAGGAAGGTTGATAGAGAATGGAAATGCACTAATAAAATAATAGCGTGAACAAGTTCCGACAGAGACCAGTTGCCTTCACCTTTAGTCAAATTCTGCAAGTGGCGAAGCACGCGCAAGATTATTCTAAAATTCATCGAAATTCAATCGGAAAGCTAAATACGTAAATATCATGATACCTAATTTCATTGCATATGATATGCTGTTTTAGGTATTATAATTTTTTATCTTAGTTTTATTGGTATTTGGATAGCGAGTAATAGCCAATATTATCAATATCACAAGAATCGAAGAATTAGCATTTCGCGTTATATCATTTGCTTACATGAAAATGTTCATTACCTCGATGTAACATTTGTTCAGAAGCCATGGCGTGTGTGCAAGTATTTTATTGATCTCGTAAAGATTTTGAAGTTTTGCTGGAATTGCTTTCAAGCCTTCTAACCAGAATGGATCACCGCCATGATCAATAAATTCATTTTTCAACATGTTCATTAAGCAGCAGCATTGATGTCTACCTGATGCCTGCATTCGATAAATTCACGTATAGTTTTATTAATATTGTTGGAAACTCTTGTTATTGTGAAATCTATTGTGACCAATTGTATTGCACTAGCCGTATATAAATGCATGAAAAATTTAATGAATATATCGTTACTCGTACGTTAATAAAATATTATTAAAATCTTATATAATCGATAATGTTTTATAATAAACCCAATGTTTATGTTTATGTTTATGTTTATGTTTATGTTTATGTTTATTTTATTTATTTTTTTTTTTTTCCCCCTCTTACTTATACTCTGTATTTCTATTTGAATATTTGTCACTGTACTCTTCCGCTTATAAACTTATCTTGATTTCTGTATTTTATACGGTAAGTTTTAGGAGAACCATTAGATTCGATATGTCGCTATGAATAGAAATATAAGAAATTTCTAAAATAATATACGCATGTATTTGTATAAATCGTATATCTAAAAACTGCAGTTGTTTTTACTCCGATATCGATAGATAAAAGATTTTTATATTAGCAAAAGTATAGATTTTATTTAATAATACTTTGCTGAATAAATAAGCATCGTTGGAGCTCGTAAATGTAATTAAAAATTATGAAAATGTATTACGTAAATAATATATTAGGAGCAAAATTTCAAAAAAATTCTCCAACCTCTATGCTTCAATTACGAGTGATGATTTTTATTTAATTCAACTACTTACACGTGCTCGATAAACTCATTTATTTTTCTTAAATAAAATCATGTAAAATAGTATAGAAATTATTTAAAACAACCTGAGAATAATATTGTAAAATCGAATCTTGGCCTACTTGTAAAATAACAAAAATTTAGTATTTAGTTCAATTGATTTTATATAATTATTGATTATTGTTTTTTTTTTTTTTTCTTTTTTTTATCCTTTGTATTCGTTACTTGTTTAGGGTAAAATTTACTTGTCCAATAGAATAAGAAAAGTATCGAATAAGACAGCGAACAAAAATATAAGTAAAACATTTTTACAAAAAGTAAGATCGCTCTTATAGCAGCAAAAATATTGTCAATTAATGTCGTGCATACGTATTTGAAATTATTGATTAGCAAGTTAAGTAAAACCCTAATTTTAACACTTTGATTTTCTTTGATAAAGTTTGCACGAAAATAATGAAAGGACACGATTAATAAACATTTCAGGTAGAAAATTTTCAACAAACGGCTCATATAAATGATAAATGTATCTTACAATAATAGCAATTATGTATCGATAAGGATACGAAAGTGGTCCATCGCCTCGTAAAATGGCATTATGAGTTTGTAAGAAATGTTCCATATACTTAGGATGATAAGAAAGGACTTCGACTAAAAATGCCATTAACATATTGGAAAGAATGAGAATTAAAATCTGAAAACGTAATATAATGGCGAATAAATTTATCATTATAATTTAATTGAGCCAGGAATAAGTTAAATGTCATATACTTACAAGATTATCGCGATTAAGATTAAGAATTTGCTTTTACTTTTCACTAAGCATAAACTAGTTGTCCGGCAACAAAACCACTACAAGCAATGTACAATTAATTTATTGATGTCCCCACAGAAGCTTGATTTTACAGACAGCCACAACTCATCAGCATATATTTCAGTTGAATAAATCCTATCCGTATTCCATATTCCTCGAATTCCAAGAATTCGTAAGTTCACAGACCTACGCATAATATTTACTTATGTAATAAACCGCTTGCTATCTCTCTCTCTCTCTCTCTCTCTCTCATTATTTTCTAACGCTTACTTTTATTATTGTCCACGTTGTATATCCCATTTAGCAATTGATAAAAACGAAAATTTTAAAATCTTTCTATTGTCGATTATGAATAATATTGAAATATCTTTCACGCGTTTATTCGCAATTTTTGACAATTTATCGTCACATTACCATTGCCATCAATAATATTCTAAACGTAACATTTAATTAGACTTGGAGATAAATAAATTCCTATTTTCTTTTATAGAAATTTAACTAGAAACATCGATATTACTACTCAAGCTCCACCTACTCCGACAAGACTTTCGAAATTCTACTTGAAATGCAAAAATAATAATTTCGTCCGTCTTATTGGGTTTTGTAGGAAAGCCACGACATTATCGAAAATACATTCAAACCGAGGGATAATGAAGAAATGCTAAGAATTAAGCCTTTCTCAACATCATTTTACCAAATTTCAACGTTTTCTCGGCTTCGTACAAGCGACGATAAGTCAAGGAGGGCGACATAAAGGCATTTTTCTTTGTTTTTTTCATTTTTGCGCGGGTTGTCAGGTTTGTGCCTTGCCTGTGAAATATACGCGCGCGCGCTCAGAAACAAAATCATTGGTGTCGGCCAAATAGATCGCCAGAAAGCGCTGAAGGCCACATGCCACAGATTTTTCTCTTTCTCTTTGGACTCGCAGGAGTAACGAAACTTCACAAACAATGGATTTTAAGTAGCCGAGGGATATAGAAGCTTGTCGAAAAATATTTTAATCCAAAACTCCATCCTCCCGCTTGATGCTTTTACGTCGGTAGCCGAGTTTTGTTATTGTTTTTCTTCTCTCTTTATGTACGTTAGAATGCTGCGCACTATAAGTTATTCGTTTAAGTGAAAACAAAAACAAAAACAAAAAAAGAAAAGAAAAACGGGATGTCAAAATAAATACAAAAATAAATCATTTGTGTTATAGTTTTTTTTTTTCTCCTAAATTATGGCCGTTGATGTAGAAAACTTATTATTATTCAAAGTGCGGATGTTTTAAATGTCATTAATTTCGCAGAATACTGTAGATAATGAGAATTTTTGAAATTTTTGAATTTCTACAGTATTAATTATAATTAATATTTAAGGAATAGGCCATTACGACTCGAATCGCTCATATCGAAGCAGAATTGAAATTTTATAGAATAATATTTTATTTTTGATAACTTACACATACACGCTGAAAAAAAAGAAAATCCTTTTTTACATTTAAAACGAGAAGAATTATTTAAATCTCGTGGATTTATATTAAAATTCAGAATTCAAGAAAAGTTCTAGATAATAAAACCACTCTTTATTTATAAGATCAACATAAATTACAAGCGAGTTTTCTGGTATTTAATATAAATAGCAGTTTCATAAAGTAAGATAGATTTATCCCGTATACTAAAATAATATTTACTATTTATATTTAAATGTAAAAATTACTGTTTTTAAATTAACTAAGCTCGGTTATTAAAATCTTGTTTTCGTAATTATTATACATTTTAACATTAAAATAACCGATACTTTAGTTATATTTTTTTATCTAATTTTGCCAATCTATTGTAATTATAATCGTTTAATTGTATAAAAATTGATTATTATTATCAACTATTGACAAATGTTTTATCTTATTAAAATAACAATGCAAATAACAATTTTAAATGCCTGAATATAAATATATATGTTCTAATTGGTCATAAGCTTCACATTGATTTTATTCGAAAGAGATGGACAACGAGGAAAGACATCAAATTATATTCCATACTAATAAGTTATAATAATAACATTGTTAAAAAATTATAAAATGTCTTTCAATCTCAAAACTTCATGTAATAATGCCTTATGTCATTAGCCGAATGATTCATTTAATCTATTTAATAACACTAAATAATCTTAAGCGAATGGAAACAATAAATATCAATTATTTCAATAGTGATTGATATTGTTTCTTCGTTGACTAATTTAACAAAGAGGAAAATTTATATCAATAATCTTACAAAATTTTAAAAATTTCGTTCTTGAAAAATGATTACTATTGATTGTTTATTATTATTCAATTAATTGTCAATAATTTTTAAATGAATAATAGGTAGTATAAACGCAATGTTATAAACAAATTATTAAATTTATTCCTTATTTAATTTATAAAAAATTTTAATTCATAATAAATGCGAATGATGTATTATTATTTGTACATTTGCAATAAAATTTTGTTTTACCTTAACGTGTGTATCGTTAAATTGTATATTTATGAATACAATAGGAAAAATGCGAATTGTAGTTAATTTGCTAATTTATTTTATCATAAAATAACGTGGTTAAAATATATTTGATTATCAAGAGAGAAACATAGGTAGGGTTAAACATAAAGAAAGACTGGGGATGAGGGAGATATATGTGCGTGCGCGCGCGCGCGTGTGTGTGTGTGTGTGTGTGTTTGTGCGCGCGCGTGTGCGTGTGCGTGTGCGTGTGCGTGTGCGTGTGCGTGTGTGTGTGTGTATATAGGTATAAAGCATGTGATGAAGGGGAAATCTATTCAGGTACGTTCTCCTAGTAATATTGTTCTCTTTGAAAATCTTTAGACGTCCATTCATTAATTTTCCAAAGAATGACACAAAGCATCTTTTTTTTAGTGCTTCTCCGCTACTCGAAGAGCTGCAACTCTCTCAAACATATATATATATATAAACCTCTCAGTCATTGGGGATTTATAGATATACAAGTATTATTAATGTCAGAATTTGTTTGAAAAGAATACAAATTTGTTAGAAGTAGCAATATAATAGATATTTTTTATGATAAAATCAACAAATAGATTAGATTATACGACGATAAAAATTCATAGAGATTGAGATTGGTGGGGTTGGGGTTGGGGTTGGGGTTGGGGTTAGGGGGGGGGATGTAAGGTATTAATCTGTAAAAACAAAAACAAAAACAAAACAAAAAAATAAAGGAAATACCTATTTGCCCTCTAACTCCTACCTCCGAAATATCAAGTCCCTATGGTTTGATAATATTTTTTTAAAATAAACTTAATATATAAATAAATACTTTAATTGAGATATCCGCCAAAATGTGCGCCTAAATATCACAAATGAATAAAAAAATAACGTGGAAAAGACATAAGCTAATGACCGTACACCCGGCCATTTGTATCCTCCGGCAATATCATAACTCTTTCATATGCAATATATTCCCACTGATCAGTGCCTTATGCTTTATATTGGCCATAAAAGATTATTAACAACTTTTAGATTCTCTACCGTTCTAAAATGCCGATAATGGCATCGTCGTATTCCTACGGGGTTCGTTCAGTCATTTTTAGGAGGACTTTGAATATCAGTCAAAAGTCAAAAATTTATAATATCTTTTATTTTAAATTATAATAAAAATAGAATCCTTACTCGATGTATAAGTTATAAATGATTTTATTTTTGTGGAAATAATGAAAACCCTTAATCGGCTTAACACTATAATGCTCTTCTTCATTGTTCTTTTAAGATTTTAACTTAATGTAAATACCTATTTTTTAAGCTAAAATTACGTTATTTTGAAATTCCAGTACAATGGAGAATAGAATTTTCTATTGTAAGATATTTGAGTCAGTTGTTGGCTTATGAATACAAAAATTGTCAAACAAGCTTTGCTTCATTTTGAAATCATTATGCATCTTAACTTTATCGATAATAATTGAAATTATGTAATGAATTTTACGGAAAATCTGAATAGTAATTAATCAATTGTTTGAAGTTGTAACATTGAACTTATGAAAGGTTCGCTTGTATTAGCGACGCAAAATAAAGGAATAAAAGCATACTTGGTTTATTCGTTTTTTCCTAAATTATTAACACAGAATTGTTTGTTGAAAGTCTATCGTCTATTGTCTGCTAATTAGTTGCCTTTGTAGCTTAATTTAACATAGAATTTTATTAATTAATAGAAAAGTCGAGTGACAAATAATCCAGTAATGTTGTTAACGTACTCGTTCTTCTATTAAAATGATTGTAAGCATAAATCCGTAATTTCAACTCTCCTAATACATTAACACTTTACGTAGTTACGTAGTCAACAAAAATTTGTAAAAGTGCAAGAGTGACAGCGATTAGTCCGCCTGGACTTTGAACCATGATATATCACTTACGCACAATAGTTGTTCGGATGGGAAGTACGAGTGCCCGAGAGCGCGAGTGGTGGACGGGGAGAGAGAGAGGGGGGGGTGGGGGGGGGGGGGGGGGTTAGGAGTATGAGGACATCGAAGAGTAATAGGGACCTCTGTCGCATAAGTAAACGTTATTTTTTCACATTAAGCTGGAGATATCTGAGCTCGAAGGACGAAACGTCGAATCCCCGGGAGTGGCGTTGCGGCCGCGTTTGCTGGCGGCATTTTTCTCGAGGGTGACGTGGGAGAGAAAATCCCTGCGCCTCGTAAAACGGGATTGAGCTGCCGTGTTGAGGTGCCGTACCACCGATGCGTTAACCCGGGAGACGAGGCCTCGCCCGAGGTGTCCATAAACAGCGCTCGTGCGCATCGTCCCCTGGTTGTTTCCTGATATCCCGGGCTGAACTTTTGATGGGGGCTCGGAGTCTCCTTGTGACGACGATTCTGCGACAAAATTTTTCAAATCCCCATCCTCTTTATGCGACGATCATAGAGAGTGTCGATACCTCGAGTCGCTTATTCTTAAACCAAATCGCGCTTTCTACGTTGTTTTTGTCTCACTTTTCTTTTTCTTTTTTCATGCTTGTTTGCTTATT